TCCCTACATCACGAGCAGGGACAATGTTACTAGGACCAGGGGAATAAACCGGACCCAGGTATAGGGAGAATGGTAGTGTTAGAAACAATGGGGTAACTAGACAAGTATGCAGGAAGCATGAGTATGGTATATAAGGATGAGTACATACTGAAAATACCTAAAACTGACAAGTTTTGATTATATTTTAGAAGATGGCATAAAAATGTGGATATCAAAAAAGCAACCAATTCAAAAGGATACATGTTTATGAAAGCATAAAACAAAGTAGGTTAGTTTGTTTCCAATCATCATTATTTTTTTTTAAATAAGGAAAATTTCAGTAATTAAAATTATTGTGTGACTGGATTGCTAGGAGTGGTACATAAAGGGAACGTGCGTTGAATGAAGGTGTCTGTATATATTATCAGGAAAGAAATATGTGTAGCATAACATGTGGGAAAAGATCGTAGAATGTAGAAACCATCAGACTGATAAATGTTTTCAGTTAGAATAGTATGGTTAGTTTATGGGTTGTGTTATTTTGAGTTATACTTGGGGGGTAGGGGGATACTTTCGAAACTAGCGATAGATATTGTAGAGATGAATGTAGTGAAAGTAGAAGTAGTAGAAGTAGTAGTAACAGTAGTAACAGTAGTAGTAGTAATAATAGAGTAGTATTAACAGTGTTAGTTGTTGTTGTAGTGGTAATAATCATAAAATGATTGTACGACCGTCGAAGTGTTCCAAATGTTGTGAACTGCGTTTCACTCGAGAATGGCAGGTTTCAAATCGTTTTCAAATTATACGAAAAAATATATATACAAGACAGGTACGAAAGAAAATTTAAAAAGGTAGAAGGAAATAGACAAAATTATAAAAAAGGAAAGAAAAAAAACACTGGCCAGATCATTTCCCACCTGACTCTTTCTTTGAAACTCGACCCCTTCCCTTTTCATTTCCTCCCCCGCCCCCCTTTGCTCTCGTGTTCAGATATCCTCCCTTGTGTACTGACTCAGACGAGACTCGTAGTTGTCGAGCACCGAGCCAAGGACTGTGGTGAGGTACTCAGATATCCCCTCATAACTGCGGCTCTTAGGTCCTGCATAGAACTTACTGTAGGCTCTTAAACATACCAACCGCCCACCCTAGCACTTGTACCTGGTATTTACACGACACTCAGTAGTCCTGCTTGTTCTGCATCACTTCAGACTTTTTTGTTTTTTTACAAGGGACATGTTTGTCTGTAGAAACGCGTCTCATACACAAGCACCTTCACTGTCTCCGCACTTTAAGCCAAGTACCGAAGACTGGACTTTCTAATAGTGGTTTTAGCTTTTCCATAGGAAGATGCATGGGCAGAAATGAGATGGTATATTCCTAATTGCGATTGTTGAAATATATATTACTCTCATATAGATATCTACAGTAGTTATTAGATAGCAAAGTTTCATCACTTGTATTTGATTTGTGCGTTAGACTGGTAGAATATCCATGGTCATGAGTAGTGAGAAACAGTTCCTTCAGAAAGTTTCATAACACTTTTGGTGGTGCATGGGATCTGTATTACAGTAAACATCACAGATAATAATTTACAAAAGCCAATAATTGACTGGAGCACTGAAAACGCATTTCCATAGACTTCTTGTTTGGACATGACCAATTCATAAAAAAAAAACTTGTTTACTCACAGATACAGTAGTTCCTAGTGCCACCTTAAAGTGTAAGAAATCTTGTTTGAGACTTTTACACTATATTGTTCATTGCATTTCCATAGCTTGTATCGATAGACCGTTCATCCTTGTATGGTATGTCCATCCTGACAGGCATGGTTATTACTAACAAAAGTACAGAATACTGTTACAATGAATATGTTGATTTGTGAAAATGCACATGTATTGAAAAACCTATTTAACCATTGTTTTCCCCTCGTATACACTCATTTCCTGATGCATTCCTGAATCTCTTAAAACATTTGTGTTTGAAAGTCTTCACGGAAAAGGGCACTCACATACTACCTAGCTGGTTCTTTCTGAACTAAGCCTCATGTCAATTCTCACAAACCACGTCTCAGTAGTCCCCTTGGTCTGATTATTTTGCGTGCGCTGACAGCAGGGGGCCGGACCGCCAGCGTGTCTTCCCAGAACTCTCTCCAGATGAGGAAGACCACGTACTCGGACGGCGGCAGGTATCGCTGCGTGGCCTCCGACGCAACGCGGACGGTCGAGTCAGATGACGTGGATGTGGTCGTCACTGGTGAGTACGGGCGTGCGTGCAGGGGCTGGGGGGTATAGCGAGTGAATGACCGATGGTTGGGTGTAGTCGTCACTGGCTGGTACGCGGAGGTGGTGAATAAAGTGAGTGATTGAGTAACGATGCGGGTGTAGTCGTCACTGGCAGGTACGCGGAAGTGGTGCATAAAGTGAGTGATTGAGTAACGATGTGGGTGTAGTCGTCACTGGCAGGTACGCGGAGATGGTGAGTAAAGTGAGTGCTTGAGCAACGATGTGGAAGTAGTCGTCGGTGGTAAGGATAAGAAGTGGGTTGAATAAATAATGATGTGGATACGATCGACTCTGGTGAGTACTGGGTCGAAGGGAGGAGAGATGAATGAAAATATGACGGAATAATTGAAGGAAAAGCTTCAGATTTTGGAAGTAGAGTTCAAGAGCTGAGCAGGCAGATTATGACGTCAAAGTTGCCATGGGTGAGTGTGAGGCGATTTTTTTTAGGGGGAGGGGGGTCAGTGAATGAGTAATTCAGTAACGTGACTAAATGAGAGAGGTAGTGAGGGAATGTAAATCTAAAATATTTAGAGAGAATGAGAAAATGAGTGAATCTATATGTATGCGTCTGAAGCGTGAGCATGTGTGTGTGTGTGTGTGTGTGTGTGTGTGTGTGTGTGTGTGTGTGTGTGTGTGTGTGTGTGTGTGTGTGTGTGTGTGTGTGTGTGTCAAGTGGGATGGTGAGGATGTGGGTGTAAATTTGTATTGAGTAAATAAAAGGATAAATGAGTTAGAATTTGTGACAGTGTAGCTTTTTCCAATATTGTCTTTTTCCTAAGCTGTTGTTATGGTTATGCTTCTTGTTCTTAAACACACACACGCATTGTGCATATGTCTATATCTATCTATCTATCTCTTCATCAATCTCTCTCTATTTCTACTTATGTACTTATTTCTTTATATATATAAACACAAATGTTTACATATATATTATATTTATGTTGATGTGTTTATATATGTCTTTATTCTATTTCTGTGTATATATCTGTGTGTGTGTGTGTGTGTGTGTGTGTGTGTGTGTGTGTGTGTGTATGTGTGTGTGTGTGTGTGTGTGTGTGTGTGTGTGTGTGTGTGTGTGTGTGTGTGTGTGTGCGTGTGTGTAGTATGTATATATGTAATTATGCACAAACAAAAACAAACTTACAAGTCTCTCTCTGCTCTTACTTGCTCTCTCCCTCCTCCCCCCACTAACCCCCCCACCCCCTTCCCCGCAGGTGCGCCCTTAGTCGAAGCGGTAAACTCCACGGTGCTTTCCATCGGCGGGCGGCCCACAGCTCTCACCGCCCACGTCTGCGGCCGCCCATCGGTGTCCACCCTCACATGGCTTCCCCCCGCCCACCTCCCGCCCGTGAGAGCTGGCGAGACGAAGGACAGATTCAAAGCCCACAACCTCACGGTATTGAAGTTCTCTCGTTGGGTGGAATGGGCGTGGCTTGTGACGTCACGATGCAGGACTTTGGTTTTGATTTTTTCTCTTCTTTTCTTGGTGTTATCATAATAAAAAAATCCTTTATGTTAATGGTAATAAAATTACTGATATGGACAATGATAATAATGGAAATTATAGAACTGTTGATAACAACGACTTCAATAATAATAATAAAGTAATGATAAATGGCACAGTAATTGTACCAACGGTTAATTCCACCACGACTGTTCTTATTCCAGTGCTGTTTCGTATTATTTTACAACTTTATCTAATTCCTTCTCCCCCCCCAGGCGTCCGAAACCCCCGACTGCCAGTACGCGGTGATGACCATCGTGGGCGTGCGGGCGAGCGACGCCGGCAACTGGGTCCTCGTGGGCGTGAACGACCGGGGTGCGAGCGCCGCCCTTATCCGACTCAACATCACCGCCGCCGCCCACTCCGTCACTGCCAACGGCGCCCGTGCTATGATCCACGCCCATGCCCACTCTGCCGCTACCCAGGCCTTCCTAGCTGCTGTTCTTATCCTTTTTTACGCCGCCCACGGCCGGTTATGGGCGTGAAGTGAAAGGTGACGTTAAGACGAAAAGTGTATCTCGTGTTAATGAAGAAAAATATACTGTGATAAAAGGGCGTGTTTGAGTGTGTAGTGTCGAGCCTATCGTCAGGGAGAGGCGGGGGAGAGAAGGGGGGAAGGGAGAAACAAAGCTGGAAGGAAGGAAGGAAAGGAAGAGGAAAGAGGGGGTGAAAGGTGGAAGAAAGGAAGGCGGAAAAGAGGAGCCAAATGGAAGGAAGGAAGAGAAAGTGAGGGAGGAATGAAGGAAGAAAAGAAGAAAAGACAGAAATGAAAGAAGATGGAGGGAAGGACGGAGAAAAACGCAGAAAGAAGAAAAGATCGACAGAGAAAGAAAAAAAAAACGTGATAAAGAATGTATAAAGCGTTGATCAAAATAGAAACAAGACAATAAGATCAAATAACCCAAAAGGTATTATTCCTCCCTCAATGACTAGCAATATATCAATAAAAAAAAATCAATAGATTGGTAATTTTTATATATATATATATATATACCTATCGTCAATATCGGATTGAGACATGGCTGGTTGTGACGGCAGAGGGAATGCACGCTTTCGTGGGCGCAGATGGGCGTGAGTGGGCGTGCGAGGGCAAGGCCGTGGATCCATACGTTCTCTTCTAGTTATTATCCCTTACTGCTTTATAATGACGTATTGACGTGGCTGTAATAACCATTCATAGGAATTTATCAAACTAATGTTCTTGTAATAAATTGTAATAAATGTCAGTGTCTCTT